TGCTGTTCAATCCATTCGGCGACGAAATCTGCAATTGCTTGGGACTTGATAGCCTTCTTTGCTTCAAACTTGATATCTAGGGGAAGGAGTTCAATCGCCCACTTTGCCACTCGACCAGTTGCATCTCTGTTGTGCAAGATCTCTGACAGTGGAGCGTCGCTGACGACTGTAATGGAATGGTCAGAGAAGTAGTGTGCAACCTTCTTCATGGTCATGTAGATCCCATATACGAGCTTCTAGTAATGGGGATATCTTTGCTTCGAAGGGGTCAAAATTTCAGACACATAATATACTGGGCGCTGAACTCTGAAGGCCTTTCCTTCTTCTTCCCGCTTGACCGTAAGTACTGTACTAACAACTTGTCCCGTGGCCGCAATGTACAGCAGCAGAGGCTCTTTACTGATTGGGGCAGCAAGCACCGGCTGGGTGGAGAGCAGAGCTTTGAGCTCTGCAAACGCTGCGTCAGCTTCTGGAGTCCACTCGAACTTGTCAGACTTCTTCATCAGTCGGTAAAGAGGCAACGCCTTTTCACCGAGACGAGAAATGAATCGACTTAGAGCGGCCAAGCAACCTGTAAGCTTCTAGACATCGTGTACACGCACAAGGCGCTTCATCCGGAGTATGGTGCCAACTTTCTCGGGATTGGCGTCGATTCCTCGTTCGGAACCGAGAAAACCGAGTAACTTTCCACCTGGAACTCCGAATGTGCACTTTGATGGATTGAGCTTGATATCATATCCCCTGAGGTTAGCAAAGGTTTCGGCAAGGTCAGTCAGTAGGTCGGAACCTTTCCGTGACTTAACCACAATATCATCCATGTATGCTTCTATGTTCCGACTGATCTGAGTGAGAAAACACTTCTGAATCATCCTCATGAACGTGGCTCCAGCATTCTTGAGGCCGAAGGGCATGGTGACATAACAGAAGCACCCGAATGGGGTGATGAAAGCCGTTTTGATCTCGTCGGGTCCATACAGACAGATCTGATGGTACCCTGAATAAGCATCTAGAAAAGACAAACGCTCACACCCCGCGGTCGAGTCGACTACCTGGTCGATGCGGGGGAGAGGGAAATGATCTTTCGGGCAGGCCCGATTGATATGTTTAAAGTCAATGCACATGCGAAGCGACTTGTCCTTCTTGGGGACCATGACGACATTGGGGAGCCACTCGGAGTGGTAAATCTCTCGGATGAACTCCGCTACTAAGAGCCGAGCCACCTCCTCGCCAATAGATTTCCTCTTCTGGACGGCGAATCGTCGAAGATGTTCTTTCACAGGCTTGAACTTCGGGTCGACTCATAGACGGTGCTCAGCCAGCCCCTTGGGAACTCCAGGCATGTCAGAAGGCTTCCATGCGAAGATGTCCCAGTTCTCGCGGAGGAACTGGATGAGCGCTTCTTCCTATTTGGAGTCGAGCGTCGTTGAGATGTGAGTCAGGGCGGCATTGGGGTCGGTCGGGTGAATGTGAACTGGCTTAGTTTCACCGGACGACTGAAAAGCTGATTCTGAAGCTGGCTTCTTCGCTCGCAGCAATTCACTCGGATCAGCAGTCTTCTGGTACTCTTGCAGTTCGACTACTGACATCTGAGCATCAGCGATCTTTGATCATTTCTGAAAACACTCCTCTGCTTTCTTCCGATTGCCTGTAACGGTGATCACGCCTTTGGGGCCGGGCATCTTCAACTTGAGATACACATAGCACGGTCGAGCCATGAAGCGTGCATAAGCTGGCCGGCCTAGAATAGCATGATAAGCACTTTGGAAGTCCACAACCTCAAATGTCAACTTTTCCTTGCGGTAATTCTTTGAATCACCGAAAACCACATCGAGAGCAATCTGGCCGAGTGACTCAGCTTTCTTTCCAGGAATGGCTCCATGGAAACTCATGTTGCTGGCACTGAGCCTGGACATCGGAATGCCCATCCCTTTCAACGTTTCTGCATATAGTATGTTCAGGCCGCTGCCACCATCCATCAGGACTTTGGTCAGTCGAGTGCCTTCGACAATTGGATCGACCACCAGAGCTTGCCTCCCAGGGGTGGCAATGTGCGCAGGGTGATTGGACTGGTCGAACATGATGGCAGTCTGAGACCACTTCAGGTAGCTGAGTGTTGCCGGGGCAACCATATTCACTTCACGGTTAATGACTTTCAGTCGACTTTTGCTTTCGACATCAGCAAAAATCATCAGGGTGGAATTGACTTGGGGGTACCCATTGTCACTGTCTTCCTTGTCCTCAACTCTGTCCGACTCTTTTTCCTTGTCCTTGGACTGTTTGCCTTGAAACTGCTGGATTAGGAGCCGGCACTCTCGAGTGGTATGCTTTGGGTAAATAAAATTACCCTCTTCATCTTTCTTGGTGTGGCTGTGACATGGCAGATCCAAAACATCATTTCCATCTTGATCCTTGACTTTCTTGGGGTTCCAGGACCCCTTGGGTTTTCCCTTGAATTTTCCCTGGGTCACGGCCAGGGCCTCCCCAGGAGCGGCTGGCTCGGCCTTCCGCTTCTGCTTCCGACTGGAATTGCCTCCGGTTTCCTGGGCGACTGCTTTCTGCTTGCCACTCCGGAGTCGATCTTCATCTTCTCTGTTAGCGTATTTGGTGGCAATTTCCATCATCCGATTCAGAGACATTTCTCCGGTCCGACCGAACTTCAGGTTCAACTCTCTATTCTTGACGCCTTCTTTAAAGGCACAAACTGCTTGGTGATCTGGTACATTCTCAACCATGTGATGCAAAGTGATCCACCTCTGGATGTAATCCCTCAGAGTTTCACTCGGTTTCTGCACGTAGGACCGCAATTCTGTAAGGCCTGCCGGTCGCTTGCATGTTCCTTCAAAGGTTGTGACAAACACTCGAGAGAGATCCTCCCAAGTGTAGATGCTACTGGGTGCTAACTGATTCAGCCACGCTCTAGCTGAGCCCTCTAACAGGAGAGGCAAATGCTTCATAGCCACCTCATCATTGCCGCCACCAATCTGGACAGCCACTCGGTAGTCTTCGAGCCAAGTGTCAGGCTTAGACTCGCCGGTGAACTTGCTGACTCCGGTCGCCAACCGGAAGTTGGGAGGAATCACTGCGGCCCTGATGGCTCGACTGAAACACTCTGGCCCTGAAGCATGTACACTGCTGCTGGCAGGCGCATCTCTGTTGTGGCATTCTCGATGAGCTCTGTTCCTGTCAACCAAACCTTGAACGAGGATGGATCTCGCATCAAAGCCTGGGTCCCTCAGGTCGACTGGAATCCTCTGCCCAACACTATGAGGGCGTCTGTCATCTTACCGTCGAGGCGCATACGACCCACTCCTCGGGGGAGGGGTTGGCACTCGACGTCGATCATCACGATCGAATCGGTGATCATACTGCTCATTCCTCCTGTACTGATCATGTCGGTCACCACGTCCCTCACGCCTCGGGGGCGATCTCGGGCTGTGAGCCGACTGGACTGTATCTGTTGCAACGGATCGACTATGGATCCTATTCCGCGACTGAGAAACGGCGGAATTCTGGTTTCCCGCCGCCCGGAGCAACGCTCTGATTTGCAACAAGCCCCTGCCAGCCTCCGACTGGGAGGGCTGAATCGATTCCGCTATATGGGCCGTGGCTGCCAAATTCTGAACTGGGGTTCGACATACCTGCGTAGGCGGGAAGAGCTGATGTCGACTCGACTCGGGAGCCCGCTGACGCGCTTGCTCGTCGAGTATTCGCTGGAGATTCTCCAGTCGAGTGCGCTCGGCCAAGTTAGCCAAGCGCGCGTCCTCCAAGGCCAGGGCCTCGGGGGTTTCTCCAACGATAGGAGTGTGGAGTGCATCCATGTTCCGGCGGCGAAGCTCCTCTCGCTGCACTAACGTGAGAGGTTCGGGGAGATATTCATCGTGAGGATGCGACGGGTCGCCTCCACCCGCGCCTCCATCGGTGCGAGGGAAACCAGGAGGACTGTGTGTTCCATCGACCGCCAGAACCTCAGCCGCCGGGTCGCTACTGTCGCACTCGGATGCGGTCCCCGCGGAGCCAGTCGACGGGTCGAACAGGCCGTAGAGGGATTCATCGGGCTCGATTGTCGCGACTTGCGGGGCTGCCGACTGGCGGGCCACGGCATGACTCACCCACCTCCAAAGTCTCGACCGGCCGGAGCGCTTGCGCCGGTGGGAGACAGGGCGGGGAGACGACACGGGGGCCGACTGATACTGGGTCGACGGCTGCCGCAGGAGGACGCCACGAATGCATGCGCGGAAGTGCGTCACACCGCGGACGGGGAGCGCGTCGATGTCGAGTGGTGCCTCCTGAAGCCAGGCGGAGTCATCGGCGATGAACGTGAGCGCGCCGAGACGAATCTCGCGGCCCTCCACCAAAACTCCGCGAGAAACCATGATCAAAGGGATCGGAAAAGATTGCAACTTTTCCAACTAGGCGCTAAGATTCCGGCCCCAAGGTGGGCGCCAACTGTCGTGGTTCTAACTCTGACAATGATGTAGGGGGGTGTGTATGGAGAGGCTAGATCTCAGCTATGGAGAAGTTGTAAATACACCAGGATGTACGAGTTCAGGCCCTTCGCGGAGGAAGTAACAGCCCTACGTCTCGGTGCCCAGAGGCGGTCGATTGAATTATGCGTGTGTGAATAATAGGGGTGTGAACCCTTCATACTGAGGAGGGGGTGGCTTATATAGAGTTCGCCGGCCCTCTCCTGCCGTCAGTGATGCAGGGTTTAAGGTATATTTAAGGTTGGGAGTTACTGGTAACGCCCCTAATAAAGTGCTATAATGACCATAAAGACTACTTAATAGCCGATCGTTTGCCTGCTGAGTGACTTTAGGTCTCCTGGCAGTCGAGTGGTTGGCTTCATGGTCGAGTGATAGCTTCTTGGTCGAGTGTCTTGAACCCTCGAGTAGGATACCTTCAAGTAGATTGAAAGGTGACTTCTTCTAGGGATGTCCTTGGGTAGGGCTCTTTGGATAGGTCCGTGCCCCTACCCTAGGTACATAGCTTCATCAGACGGCGCATGCAGCGTCTCCTCGAGGACGGGGAGCGCTTTCTCCAGGATGTCCTTGGAGCAATCGACGCCATCGGCAGTGGCGGCGCCTATGGTGAGCGCGAGGAGGCTGATGGCGCGGTAGGCGAGCGTGGCCTCCCTGCAGGCGCCCTTGCGGAGGGAGGCACAGCAGCGATCGAAGACGGTGAAGTAGCGGTAGTCGAGCTCGTCGACGGGGACGAAGCCCTCCAGCGCCTCCATGCCCTCCTCGCGCACTGCGCGGCGCTTCTCGTGGAGCTTGTCAATGCAGTCGCCGATGACGTCTCCACAGAAAACACGGGTGAAAATCAATCGGCGAACGTACTCATCAGGAAATCACAAGAGATGATGATCAATCGACGATGAATGGGGGATCCGATGCACTTACCGGTCTTCCGACGAGAGTTGCGGAGGCTCGACATCGTAGCCAGCCCCGGACCGCCGGAGCACGGAGAGGATCAGATGGCTCTGCGGGCGGGCGCGGTGGACATGAAACGTGCGAACGTAGTCGAGACGCACGGGAGTACGCTAGGTATATGTGGCCACATCCGGGGAAGGGCGAGCCGTGACGAGACGGGGAGAAGATTGTGTCCGTCACGGGCACGAGTAAGAGGCCCATATCAAGGGCAAACTCCGACTGGGCCAGTCCATTCGGCGGTCGGGCGAATACAGGAAAACAAATATATAAAAAAAGTATATAGACAAAAATAAATACTGTTCCTCATGCTTTCTTTTTCTTTTTAGTTGGGGCGTGCTACGCGTCTGCTGGCCGGTCTTTTTAAAAGATCGGCACGGTCGCGAGCCATCAGATCTCATGCCATCAAGTGACCGAACGTCATCCTTCTCATTGCAACAAAGGTAATGTTGCAGAATTTTTCAAAACAAAACTCGTGTTGCAGAAACTTTTCTAACAGAGGTCATGTTGTAGATTTCTTTTTGCTACAAGATATTTGTTGCATTTTTTTTGCAACAGAACCTATGTTTCAGAAAAACATCAGCAGCTCATAGTTGTGTCCGTCGCGTTTTTTTGCAACAAAGGTCTTGTTGCGGATATTATTTTTTTGCAACAGCGGTTCTGCTAAGGAATTTTTTTTGCAACAAAGATCTTGTTGCACTTTTTTTGCAACAGAACTGATATTGTAGAAGTGGACGGCGGCCTTGCCATCGCCAATGGCGAGCAGAGGCCGTCTTCTTCATCATCAGGTAGCAGCAAGAGTAGGCCATGAGCTCCGCCACATGGCGGTGAGGGAGGATCGACGCCGCCTGTCCACGCCTTCGCGCCGCTGTCGACGAGTATCGGATCTCGATCAGGTCGCCATTCCTTCCTTCAGTTTTCTTATCTGTTCGCCTCTTGCCATGGGAGGGTCGTGCGCTGCTGCCATCGCGGGTCCTCGGGATGAAGCTTGCTTCCAACCCAGTCGGACCTCGCCGAGCGGAGGCCGCGCCGCTCGCGGATGTCCCCGCCTCTTGCCCGCTCGCCATCCTCGTCTGATTCGGGTAGAATCCTCGCCGCCGTTGTGCTCCCAATCGCACGAGTCAACTCCCTCACTGCTCCCGGACACCTCGGCCTCCTGCCCACGCGCCATACTCGCCGGATCCGACGAGGTCCGGCTGGAATCGCCGGTGTCGCCCTCCCAGTTGTAGGAGTCTCCGCCCACCACGGGGTCTAACCAGAGAGTTGGAAACTCTATTTTCTGAAACAAGGCATGAGTTGCAGTTTCCTTCTTTTTATACTTTTTTGATAACTTTCTCATTAGGTTCTTCACAAAAAATATTTACTCATTCTAAAAATGAACATTTATTAAACAACTTGAAATTTACACAACGATAATTTTAAATAATATAACAAATATTAAAATTCATTAAAAATAAAAAAATGAACATTTTTAATTGGGGAATAAGAATTGAACAAATATAAGGGAAAGGGATAATTGAACCGCAAAAATTGTAAAAACAAACAGTAAAAAGTCAAAAAAGAATGGTAGGGAGAAGAACAACAAGTAAGAAAAAGGAAACCGAACAAGAACCTTCCATAACCTTCCTAAATCCAATTATTTTCGGGGAAGAACCAAAAATATATCAGACCCATAACCTTCCCAAAACTGAAAGACCGAGGGTAGCTGGGTCGTCACACCAAGGCTCACCTTTATACGATGTAAACAACTTAATGAAATAAGCGTCATATTTTGAGGGGGTAAAAGCATGTCGTTATTCAACAAAATCCACAAGTGGGATGGAAGTTACATCTGAAAGTGCGTTATATCGACTAGAGGGGGGTGAATAGGCGACTTTTATGAAATTCTTCACTGAGGAATTTGCCAGTGAGGAAATTCCTTAGCGAAGAACTACTAGTAGTGGAATAAGTACTCAAAAGTAAACATAACAGAATACAAGCATAGTCATCATGATGAAATGAAGACATGCACAGAGTACAGGAAACGTAATCACAGGATAACACAGGATGAAGACAAACAGGCTGAAGAAATTAAACTGAGGAAATTGAGAAAGTCTTCAGTCAAAGTCTTCAAACACGGATATGAACAAACACACAACACAGTTATGAGGAAAAGACAATGATTTGGTAGACCAGTTCCAACTGATGTCTCAGTTGTACGTCTGGTTGGAGCGGCTGAGTATTTAAACTCGAGGACACATAGTCCCGGACACCCAGTCCTGAACACGCAGCTCAGGACACCCAGTCCACACCGTATTCTCCTTGAACTGAGGTCACACAGACCTCGTCCAATCACTCGTGGTAAGTCTTCAGGCGACTTCCAAACCTTCACAAACTTGGTCACTCGGCGATCCACAATTCCTCTTGGATGCTCTAGACCATGACGCCTAACCGTCTGGAAGAAGCACAGTCTTCAAAGGTAACAAGCGTCGGATCCACTCAGGATCAATCTCTTCAATGATGCTCAATCATTTGGGGTTTGTAGGTGTTTGGGTTTTGGGTTTTTCCTCACTTGATGATTTTTGCTCAAAGTCCTCAGAGGATGGGTTGCTCTCAAATGACAAGTGTCAGTTTCTCTTGGAGCAGCCAACCAGGTAGTGGTTGTAGGGGGCGGCTATTTATAGCCTAGGGAGCAGCCCAACATGATAAGACATAAATGCCCTTCAATTATATGACCGTTAGGTGGATAGATATTTTAGGACAGCTGGCGCATAGCACAGCAACGGTCGGAATTTTGAGTAGCAAAATCCTCAGGGCTATCATGTTCCTCACTGTGTAGGCAATCTGCACTGGCGAATTCCTAACTCCTCAGTCAGGACAAATTCCTTAGAGACTAGAAGAACTTCGTCTCTGTCACTGAAAAAATTGACTGAACTGTATGAGATTTCCAATGGCTTCACTCGAAGGGATTGGTAGGTGTGGGATTTTGAGTTGAGCATCACATGAAAATTTTTCCTTAGTATTTCCTCGATCCCCTTTAACGGTACGGTGTTTCCTATGACTCAAGAAAGAGAGAAACAAAACTATGAAAACGAAAGTCTTCAAGCTTCATATTCCTCGCATGAATATCAATTCACGGACACACCAATTTCTTCACTTTCAAAGTCTTCATGAAAGTCTTCAGAAATACCAAAATCTTCAGCCGAAGATATTCATTTTTAGGGGTCGACTTTTCCTGTAAATATCAGACTCCTCATAGACTTATAGATCTGTGTACACTCACAAACACATTAGCCCCTTAACCTATAAGTCTTCAATACACCAAAATCACTAAGGGGCACTAAATGCACTTACAATCTCCCCCTTTTTGGTGATTGATGACAATATAGGTTAAGTTTTCAATGGGGATAAACATATGAAGTGTAACTACTGATATTGAAGAATTTGATTGCAAGATATAGAAGAACTCCCCCTGAAGATGTGCATAGTGAGGAATTTGCCTTTGAAGCAATGCACACTTGAAGAGTTGAATCACAGAGATCTCCCCCTATATCTTGTAATTCATACACGCATTTAACATATAATATAAAAAATTTGAAATGCATGATGAAATATGGTGCCTGATGAAATTTAGCATGCGTGCAATAATATTAACGAGGAATAAGCTGCAGAATAGTGCATCAAAAGTATCAGAGCACAGTGCATCAAAAGTATCAGAGCACCATCAGGTTTAAGATTACAACTCGATCCAATAAAGTTTCAGAAGAACGAGAGTTGTAACTTAGCAAAATAAAAAAACGCCCATATAGTAGACCCGCTTGAAGACTAACTCATATTTCTCCCCCTTTTTCATAGAATGACCAAAAGGATCGAAAATGAGGACTAACGCCCCTGCAGATAATCATGTTGATGAAGGAGCGCCAGCGGTGTTGGGGTCGTTTGTTGATGTAGGGCCTGCCGCAGTGTCATCCAAATCTTCATGTTCATCAGTATCCCGCGATGAAGAAAATAAGATGGCCACCAGAGAAGGAACCTGGACCTTCTTGAATTTCTTCGGTGGAGGTGCAGACCAGTCAAAATCTTCTTTGAGACCCATGTTCTTCAGATCTTCTTCACCATACAGATGTGACAGGATTGCCCAGGTGCGACTGAAGACTTGATGGAGGTAGTGGTGGTTTTTCTTCACTGCATTGTGTGTGGCAGTCATGTTGTGAAGAAGTGAACCAAACTGACGCTTAACCCATTTGTGATTTCGATCCACCTTCTGGTGAAGACTAAGCAGAAGTTCGCGGTCAGTCATCACGCACGGAGAAGTGGCTTGAGGAGTGAACTGAAGGAAATATGCCCTAGAGGCAATAATAAAGTTATTATTTATTTCCTTATAATCATGATAAATGTTTATTATTCATGCTAGAATTGTATTAACCGGAAACATAATACATGTGTGAATACATAGACAAACAGAGTGTCACTAGTATGCCTCTACTTGACTAGCTCGTTAATCAAAGATGGTTATGTTTCCTAACCATGGACAAAGAGTTGTTATTTGATTAACAAGGTCACATCATTAGTTGAATGATCTGATTGACATGACCCATTCCATTAGCTGAGCACCCGATCGTTTAGTATGTTGCTATAGCTTTCTTCATGACTTATACATGTTCCTATGACTATGAGATTATGCAACTCCCGTTTACTGGAGGAACACTTTGGGTGCTACCAAACGTCACAACGTAACTGGGTGATTATAAAGGAGCATTACAGGTGTCTCCAAAGGTAGATGTTGGGTTGGCGTATTTCGAGATTAGGATTTCTCACTCCGATTGTCGGAGAGGTATCTCTGGGCCCTCTCGGTAATACACATCACATAAGCCTTGCAAGCATTACAACTAATATGATTAGTTGTGAGATGATGTATTACGGAACGAGTAAAGAGACTTGCCGGTAACGAGATTGAACTAGGTATTGGATACCGACGATCAAATCTCGGGCAAGTAACATACCGATGACAAAGGGAACAACGTATGT